ACTTCCATCCCGTCGGATCTTCAGAGAACTAAACCTCCCTCATGTCAAACCAAAAGGGACAAGAACCCTGATCGGGCATGGACCGGGTTCCAATAAGACAAAGAGATTGGTTATGAGTCATAAAAGGGGCAACACAGAGTGGCACAGCAGAGGGGGGAGGGGGAAGGGGAGGGGAGTGGGGGGAGGGGGGAGGGACAACCGAGTGCAAGAAGCATTACCACTCCCGAGGCCATGGTGTGCCAACGATCAACACTCTACTCCCACGCCACACTCCTGGCACCGACGCTCCCCTACTCCCGACGGCGCCTGATTAGGTAAGCCACCCAGCTCGGACTCTCGGCCGTGTCCCGAACTGAATACCACAAAGAGGCTCCTGGAGCATTGATACGGCGAAGCAATGCGCAACGCGTGTACGTGCCAACGGACCTCCTCCGAGACGCAAGAGTGTGCACTCTGGCAATCAAAACAGTGGTGGTGATCATAGACCACTCTGGGTAGGAGGCGGCTTTACTGAACTAGGACCAGGAGGCCATGGCCGGGGAAGCGATCAGTGGCATCGCCGTACCAGACGGCTGGTGCACAAAGCAGCACCAACCGGGTTGGGTATGCGAGGCCACACAGCGCATCACCCGACGGCCCAATCATGAGAGGAGGAATGAGAGGATCGGAGCGGCTAAATACCCAAACGAAACGGGACCATGCTTCACCTCAATCGCATGGTGCGGGGGTCGGGGCACCAGCTGGCTACGGATGGGGCGACGATTAGGGGGCTGAGGGCCTACCGGTTCTCACGGGGGGTCACTGTACGTTAATTCGTGACGTCGAAGGGTATAAACAAAATTCCTCTGGGGACCGGGGAACCCCGGCTAAATAAACCCCTTAGCCTTTTAAGGGGGCAATCCAGAAATATGCATGGGGTGTGTGCATGCGTGTTCATGTATGCATGTGTGTGTGTGTGTGTGTGTGTGTGTGTGTGCGGTGGGGCAGGGGAGGTAGGACCCGTTCCCCACCAAGCAATCAGTCAGTCAATCAATCAATCAATTAATATATATATATATCGTCACAAATAGAACTGCCCGTATATATAATATATATACGATATATATATATATATATATATATAATATATATATATGATATATATAATTTTTCAGACACCAACCACCACCATCCTGAAAATCTTTTGTTTTTGCTTTTTTTCATCTAGGGGTTACGGTCGGGGTTCCGGAACCCCAATTCGCAACCCCCTCCTCCTCTGCTCACCACGCGGCGGCGGCCATGACTGCAGGCTGCCGTCGTGAGTGCGGCGACCGCGACCGGGGGGAATTTGTAGTATGCCAGTGAGGGTGAAAGAGAAGGTAGCAGTTTCGTAGCAGGGGCGAGGTCCCACTTGCAACGGGATAGGATAGAAACGAGTTTGTGGGGCAGTTGAGTGACCCAAATCCTGCCGTGCAGTACTCGTGATCCCACGGTCAGTATTTTACATGTATTACTTGGAAAAATAAGGGGTCTTTGTTCCCCTCCTCCTCTGCTTCACACTGGGCATGCCCGTGCAAAGGAAGCTTCCCGCCAACATTAAAAGAGGGTGGGGTCGGCCATAGTCCCACTGGATAGAAGATTTTCAGTATTTTACTTGCTGTTGTGCAATTATCTCATTGGGTGGAGCCCTCCTTCAATCATGGAGTATATGGAGGGCGTCAGGATCACTGCTGACAGAAGTCCAGTTTATTCCAGAAAAAAAGTGGCAGTTACTTTGTTCACTGTTGTTGGAACCACCACCATCAGATCATCTGTGATCTGATGGCTGGGAAGCACTCTGCCGTGATTTCCGGTGGGAGGTTTCTGTTTCTTTTTTTTTTTTTTGCCTTTCTCCTGTTTTCTCAGCCCAGAAATTCGTAATGAACCTGTCAGCCCGCTGCCACTCAGCGTCACACTGGATCGGCCACAATCCTGTCCGACTGCTGATGGGACCTCGCCCCAGGGGTTCAGCCTTCCTTTTTTTTTTTTTGAATGCCTTTCAATGTGGCCACAGTGCGGCTGTGAGGCCACAGTTCGGCTGTGAGATGTTCTGATTAGATGGGGAACAACTGAGTACTCGAACTCAAAACCAAGTCGAAAGGGCATCGTTGGGGTTTCTGTGACGGACAGCCAGGGCTGGCCCAGCCTACCACTTTCGCGCAGCGAGGTCATATCTTTTATCAAACATACAAAGTCGTGTTTATGCATATGATCGCAGTTTGACGGCTATTGGATGCCCCATTGTCATTAGCCGGAGCAGCAGCAATTGCAGCACCTGCACTATAATTCCAGTTTTCACCATTCCGCTCCCCCCACAACCCCCACCACCACAAAAAAAAGAAAAGTGGATTTTTCTCGCCAAGGAAGATAAAGATGAAAAGAGGACCGAAGAGATATGAAACCAAATGTTCCGAGGAGTAGACAAGAATTGAATTGTTCACACTCAAGCATATACAAGGAGACTCTCACTCAATGACACTCATGCATCGTTAGCATGTCCACATGTGCACTGATGTACGTTTGTGAAACAATTTCAGACAGAATTTGCACAGTTGAACTCGAAATGAAACTTTGATGAACCCCTGAAGTCTGAAAATCATGTCCCTTGCTCAGGCTTGCTGCTACACAAGATGCAAATCACAGTTCAATACAGTCTTCCTGTGATAGAAGCTCTACCAATAACAAACAGGTCTCCTTCTCTCTCTCTGTTACATGCTGAAAGCTTACACACGGGCCCCTCACGGGACCCGAGGTTGGAATAGGGCCCCCAGGTCGCGTCACCGAACCTGAAGGCCCTATGGCATTTTTACTTGGGCCTGCATCAGAAAAAYGCCAGCTTTAGATTATTTTTATAGTCTTTTATTTATTTATTTGCTGCTGTTTTTCTAACGGGTGTACTGTTGTCCGTTTTGTGGCCAGGTACACGTTTTAGGGCCAGGGCAAGATTCAGGCCCAGAGGTTGTACCTCTAAAAACGTTTGGACCTCTTCTTTTGTTTTCGGACAGATTTTGGACCGTTCGGACCTGGAACGACGTTCAGGCCCAATGCATTCGCACAGGCCCTGAATCGGACCAGGTACCGAACAGACCCAGTCCTGGGCAGGGCCTGGACCGGTAGGGACCCAGGCAGGCCATTTTAGGCCAAGGGCTGAACCAGTTTCGAAGCCTGCGATCTGGACCATGGATCGGAGTTTCGATCTACACGGTCCAGAACGAAGGCCGTGGACTTACTGGGTCCGGCCCAGCGCTACTTAAGCTGGGCCAGCGCCCAGTTCTGGACAGAAGGTACGAGGAGAAATCCCAGCATTATGCTGGTTCAGAGTTCCCTCTGCTGCGCTATTTCGGAGAACTGCTGCTGCGCTATTTCGGAGAACTGCTGCTGCGCTATTTCGGAGAACTGCTGCTGCGCTAATTTTGGCTGCGCTATTCTGCGCTGTTCTACTGCGCTAGCTGGAGGGAAGCTGCGCTTTTGGGAGATGCTGCTGCGCTAACCCAGCGCCAGAGAGAGAGTTAGAGGAGTTAGTTGGAGAGAGAGAGAGAGAAGAGGACTTACCTGTACCAGCGCCATAGCTGGCTTCGCGG